ACCAATACCCAGTGGCAATCCCAGGTACTTGGAAGATCTTTTAACTACCACACCTCTGAGGATAGAGCCAATTTGAAGTTTAAGAGAAGCACTGCAGTTAGAACTGAGAAACATAGATGATTTGTTCAGATTAACTTTCTGCCCTGAAAAGGTTTTGTATTTATCAAGAATCTCTAGCAGCAATCTAGCATGGTTGACATCTGCTTTGCAAAAAACTAATGCATCATCTGCAAAAAGCAGATGAGTTAACATCGGCCCCTCTTTAGTCAGTCTTATCCCCTGGAAATGTCCAGCACACATCTTGTGGTTCAGAGAAGCTGATAACAATTCAGAGACTATGATGAAAAGATAGGGTGACAGGGGGTCACCCTGTCTAATTCCCCTAGAAGGAGTCACAAATCCTTTGACACTGCCATTTATGTTGAAAGAAAAAGTAGAGGAACAGATACAGCCACAGATCCATTTAATAAATTTGGAATGAAAACCCATCTTAGCCATAGTGTTCTTCACACAATTCCACTCCACCCTGTCGTATGCTTTCTCCATATCCAATTTTAAAGCCATAAACACATTAGGGCCAGTTTTATGCCTATGCAGATAATGGAACACTTCATGAGCCAGCACTACATTATCTAAAAGTTGTCTGCCTGGGATAAATGCAGTTTGGGATTGGCTCACACAAACATTAAGACACTTTCTCAGTCTCTCAGCCAAGATTTTAGCAATTAGTTTGTACAGCACTCCACAAAGGCTAATTGGCCTATAATTGCTTAAAGATTCAGGATAAAGGCATTTAGGAATCAAAGTGATGACAGTGTGATTCCAGTTCTTCAACATAACACCAGTACTGAAAAAGCTTTTAATAGCACTACAAACATCACTCTTAACAATATGCCAAAAATGCTGGAAGAAAGATGCAGACATACCATCTTCTCCCGGAGATTTATCTGGTGCCATGCTGAAGAGTGCTGCTGTGATTTCATCATCCTGCACTGGTGTAATCAGATCATTGTTCATAGCCTCTGAAATTGAGCAAAGAATTTGTTGAAGTAGCTCTTCTCCCCCCCTGACTCCTTCTGAGGAGAACAAAGTGGAATAGTAATCAGCAATATGAGAGGTTATGTTCTCCTCAGTATCAAGAACAGTCCCTGAATTGGACAGAAGTAACTGAATTGAGTTCCTTTTTCTCCTCTGCGATGTATAAGCATGAAAAAAACGTGTATTACTATCCCCTTCTCGCAGCCACAGAGCTCTGGATTTCAGCCTCCAGAACTGTTCCTCTTCCCTATGAGCTTTGTCAAGATCAGCTTTAACTTGGCCCCATTCTTCCCAGTCAACCTCACCACCTTCCCCCCTCAGCTCCTCCATTTTGTTTGTGAGAATTTGTATCATCTTTTCAGAGTTCCTCTTCATCGGTTTGAACCATGCAAGTAGAGCCATTCTAGTATTCCTCACTTTCTCCTGGACTTGAAACATCAGAGATCCTTCTACCACAATATCCCACCCATCTTTCACAGCTTCATTGACACCCTCTAACTGCAGCCATCTATTATCAAATATAAATCTCTTCTTGCTTCTCCCCTTATCCACATCAGTGTCCAATAGAAGAACATTATGGTCAGATGCACTCCTGAAAAAGTTAGAGAGTTTCATCTTTGGAAATCTCACCATCCAGTCAAATGAAACAAACATTTTGTCCAGCCTCTCTTCAACATACCCTTCAGTGGATCTATTATTGCCCCAAGTATAAAAAGAACCCAGCTGTTCACTTCTTGCATCTCCATCCTTACAATGAATTCCCTGAAGCCATTAAAACTTGCATCAGGCCTCCTGACCCCCCCTCTTTTCTCCTCATTACTAGATTTAGCATTCCAATCCCCCATTAAAGCCCAGCAGCTGCCCCATCTTCTTTTACACTCCTCTAAGAACTCCCATTGCCTGGATCTTGTATTTCTGTCACAACTGAGATATACAAAAGTGATCCAGTACCATTCCTGATCCCCATCCCCTCTCATCTCAGCTTGAATACAAAACTCATTGGCTACCACTTCCCTAACCTCCATTGTAAGATCCCACATTAGCAGTAAACCCCCTCTTGTCCCATTTGGCTTCTCTAAAAATCACCTACTCTCGAACCCCAGTTTTCTACACACTGTTTTAGTAAAATCAATATTTTTCTTTGTTTCTGAAAGAAAATAAATGTTTGGGGGGTGGAGTCTCCTGACATCCTTGATTTGGGAAACTGTAGAGGGCCCACCCAGCCCTCTACAGTTCCACACCATAGCCTTCATTGATCACCCTGGGGCCACTTGAGGCTGGCCTTCTCCACCTTCTCCAATTCAGATTTGGTTCTCCTTTTCTTTTCCATTAGTCCTTCTTCTATAGCCCCTCTGTCTCCTGTGAATAGCACTATTTCTCTGTTTCTCTTCATCGAAGATTCTTTATGAGATCCAGATATGACCTCTTCCATCCTTAACAGTCTACCATCAGAGGTTCCTCTCCTTTTCCATGTGGCTGTTTGGACTTTCTTTGCTTGTTCCAGATTTTGGGAGTTAAGTCTTTCATTTAGCCCCTCCTCCAATAGTGTTGTTGATTCAATTACCATCAAATCCTTACCTTTGCCTTCACTTTCTTCACTTGCAGAGAAATTGGTAATTCTGGGATTATAGCTCTCTCTCTGTCTTCTGACATCAGTGCCTTCCACCCCACTCTGATCATCTTGCCCCTTCTCAGGGCCTTTACCTTGAATTTGGGCTACCTCTATAGGAGTTTCACTAACTGAGACCACAGGCTCCTCATTTGAGGTTTGCCTTGTCTGGTTTGGATTGTTTCCTGAGCTGCTAGCAAAGCTGTTTCTACCTCCTGGATATGTCTCATTAGCTTTCAACCACTCACCAAACTGTCCAGCAGAGACTTGCCTTCTATCTATATCTTCTGCTCTTTTCTCACAGTTTTTATCCAAGTGGCCCAACTTCCCACAGTAGTAACATAGATTAACTAGTCTTTCATATCTAAATGCAATCAGAACTTTCTGGTCTCCGAGTGTGACTGTGGTACACCGCGGTATCTGCTCTTTCGTACTAACCACCGCTAAAATCTTGATGAAACTTCCCAGCTCTCCACCCGTTTTGCAGATATGGACATTCTTCACCCCTTTAAATATTTGGCCTATTTTGAGGCCAACATCGATACTCATCCAGTTAATAGGCACATTTAAGACTTGTACCCATAGTTTCACTTCATCAAAATTTGTGTGATTGCACCTCAATCCCGGGAACCATTCCTTCAGCACTAAATACTGATTTTCATAAATCCAATTGTGCCCTGCAGCTACTTTTTTCTTATCTTCTGCCGAAATGAAAAGAAACTGAAAGAAATTTGAACTTATCTCTTTCACTTTCATCGGTTGTTGGATTTTCCAGATATTGGTCATCGTTCTCTTAATCCCCCGTAGACTGGCCTGTCTATCTCCCACCACTTTCCCGAACAGGCTTCTTCCGCATTCCTCCTCACTGACTTTAATGTCATTCTGTTGGATCACAATTCCCCCTGCTTCAACAGCAGATAAAGAGATATCCCCTAATTTTCGAAAAATTTCCTCGCTCAGATCACACGGTTTCACTTTTCCTGGCGATTTGTCACCCATTTCCCCAAGTCCAGGAAACCCTAAAACTAAAGACCACTCGACTCGAAATAATGTACTCCAGGTCAGTATGGAATCTAACAATCAGAGAGCATTGACAGAAACAAATGATCGAAAAAGAACAAGACTAGAAGGAATTTTGGCTCCCACTCGAGAGAATTTTGGCTCTCACTTGAGAGAATACTGGTGACCTAAAAAAATATTTTTAAAAACACATGAGTTTAGAAAAAAACTGGGCAAATCAATTTCATATACTGCTTCTTAAGAAATAACGGGTGCATATTTTAAAAATGGATGTTACCTTATCTTTTTTCTTTTTCTTAATCACTTTTCCAATCTTTTGGTGAATAAATTTCAAATTAAGTTTCTTGGTAAAATTATCGGTGCATCTTTTCTAATGGTTTGTTGAACGATCTCATTTCCCACACAATTTTGACAAAATCTGATTCTCATTATACGGTCTGAATTTTCAAATTCTCACTATACGGTCTGAATTTCTCACTTCTCACGCTATACTTTCTGTTATTGTGTCACAATAGGGTCCGAATTTCAAATTTTTTATTTAAGATTTCAATTTTATGTTATTCTCAAATAAAGGCTTAATTTTACATTCTAGTTCTCAATTTAAGACAACAACAAGCTTTATATTTTTACATACATATATAAACCAAAATACTATTATTTTAAAATTTATATTTTTTAATAATTATAAAAATTTGTAGTAAAATTACTTTAGTAAAAAAATTAATTCATTTAACCTAATTTAATTTTTCATAAAAGTAATTTATTTGAATTACTTTTCTTACGAAGCTAGTTTTGCAAACATATTTAATACTTTTATTATAGGTATTAATATTATATATTCTTAACTTTTTCAAAAATATATATTTTATTCACAAATAATATTTTTTATAATTTTATTTGAAAAATAAATTATTTTTCTAAATAGAATTTCCTCTTTTATTTATTTTGTCCAACTATTATGTCGAGTCTTAGCCATGGTTAGTATTAAAGCAAGAAACAAATAAAGCTGAANAAGCTGAGAACGGGATAAGGAAATTAATTGCCACATGTCTGCTTCTTATTGGCTAAACCCAAAAACGGGCACCACTGGTGCGGGTGGCGTCGACTAAACCCAATTGGAGTAGTAGAATGCAAAATATTTTATCTCTGGTCTGCTATTACGAGCTTACACTTTACAAATTATAATCTTACAGTGCAAGATTTGAATAGGCAACCATTATCGGATCCGGCATATTTTATTTAAAAACCGCATATTTGTATTATCAAATATTATATTTTTATTTTAGTTTTTATAATATAATATTTTTTATTAAAAATATGCAACTTTGAGTATGCCCACCTAAAAAAAGACATTGAGCTCATATTAGGATCTATTTTCATATTCAGGACAGCAATTCTACAGAGTAGGCAAAATAATACTAAACAGTAAAAATGGATCAGATCATTTATAGTGATTCTCAGAGTGATGAAAGTGATGCAAACTCTAAAAACAAAAGGAAAAAAGCATTTCTCAACTTCGCAGTGGAAGAGTGGCTGTTACAGAGAGAATTCAATACAATACTCTGAAAATGCCATCTGATATTCCTTCCGCATTTATTCCTTATGTTGTACTCCCCAAAATTCCCACCTCAAGTTACCTTTACTCAACAAAAAATGACAACTAGCCTTATTTTAAGAAAATATTGTTCATCTGAAAGGATCATTATACAATCTTTTATTCGGATATGAATTTGTGGCATAAGCTGTAGGAAGTGGTGGGATTTCGTATTACAAGGATGTGCCAAGTGACTATATACGGCTACTCTAGAGCAAAGCCATGGTCCCAAATAGCACCAGAGAAAATGATGTTTGTAGCTCAAGGAGCCCACAAGAAACTCAGGTGGCAAAATGCTAAATTGCAACTTCAATCCCTTAACGACTCCTGGGCAATTTCTAATGCCTCCTCAACTGAAGATGCTTTCTGAAGCTTGGTTTTATCAACGGAAGGTTGGCTCCGTGCAAGTTTAGGAAGAAGTTGGAACTCCTAAAGTACATCATAACAGGATCGGAACATGCGAGGAACATAAGGATAAGCACAAATATGAAAATTTTGGTTTATAGCTAATCCTATGAAGTAGGTTTTGCTCAATTTCTCTCCCAAATCCCACTAGCCGATGCATATATACATAATATGTATGATCAAGATACGGGTTATAACACGATTCTTAATTTTGTAAACGTTATCTCATTATCTCATACCTCTGGGCTTCCACTTTCAAGAAAAACTCCTTTCAGCTTCCCTGCAAGCACAAAAAGGATTTTGTGTGTCAAATTCTAATAGCACTCCTTTCCAACGAGATGCGTAAAAGGCAACACACCTCCCTGACTACGAGTCCCTAGTTTGACCTTTTTATCCAAATTCACTAAATGAAGCTTATTTCTTTTTTTTTAAAAAAAAAAAAGAACTAAAATGAAAGGACGAAAAAAGGGAAACAGCTTAAAAGAAATGCAACTTATGGGAAAAGGAAACCAAGAAAAATTGCTTACAGAAGCTAAGGTGAAATAATGATATGTGAGAATATTCACTAATATTAACTAAATGTCATCGAGAGAAAGTGCTTACCAGAGTCTATCCAGAAAGTGGCAACTTTTGGATCAAAATTCCCAATTTCAATGGTTTCCCCAACTGCTTATCACGAAGCCAACAGTCAGTATCACTAACATTATATGCCAATCTAAAAAGTAGCAAATCTGAACATATACCATAAATGACATATTTATACCGTTGTCTCCAAAGAACTGCCACCATACTTTCCTCGGGCTCCCTTCATATTCAAATACTCTAGAGTAGAAGTATGGGAGGTAGTCATACCTAAATCAAACATTACACATTGTATTGACAAAGATAAATACTTTCACAAAAGTTCTGGAAAAGATTAATTAATATGAGAAACATGTTAAAACTTACGTATCAGTGTGTGCAGTCAGCAGTGACTTAACACAGTGCTGCGCTGACCTACGGGCATGATCAACATGTTCAACTCGTGCTATTCGGTTGTAAATCTGCTATCAAATTACACCCATTTGATATCTTGGCTACATATAGGAAATTTTCTAAGGATGCTCAGTTTTTCAGTGAAGAAACGTACCTTTAATGGAAAAGCTGCAACATCACCAATGGCGAAAATTCCGGGTATGCTTGTTCTGAACAGTCCATCAACCTGAACTTTTGAACATGAATAGAAAGTGGAACTGACTATATATACGATTCAGTAATTGCAACTGGTGTTTTGATTAAAATTATATACCATCTAAGTTTTTAATTTTGTCATACTCTTAATCAGATATTTTTAATTAAAATAAACAACAGATCACATAGTTCATAACTGGAAGATAGTAGTGCATAGTTTTTGTGAAAGCATTTGATTTAAAAGACGAATGTTACCCCAGCAGAATATATTGTCTATCATGCCCCTGCATCAAAATAACAAATTCCAACTGATGTATACCTGTATTCCGCCCACAGTTTTATTAAGACCAACCGTTTCAAAGGGGCCAGTAGCTGGCTTAGCTCCAATACCAATGACAACCTGCACGTCAAATGCACAGCTAGGTTATTTTACTTTTGCACTTTGTATTTAGCTGATAACATGATTAGTGTGAGTTTCAAAAATTAAAAATGTATAAAATGGAAAAAGCAATTAGATATAATAGACAGGCTTCGGATTTATTACCGTGTCTGCTTCAATGGTACAACCATTCTCGAGTTTGACACCAACTACATGACCATCAGAACCAGCTTCTAAGTTCTTTATTGAAGCACCCTGACAACACAAACTTGAATTAGAATACATCTATACATTTTACACTTTATATCCTCCCTTTTCCTCTCTCTGCTCTTTGGTTGAGCAGGGGTTTGGTGTGAAGAGAAAGGGGAGGATGAAACAGAGAGCAAGTAGAGCACTAACCTTAAGAAATTTGACACCATAATCTTGGTATAACTGTTCGTACTTTTGTGCCAGAGAAGGTGTAAACAATCTTGTCATCAGATGGTCTTCTGGAAAAATAATCTATATGAACACAAAGAAAATCAAAATAATCTATATGAAGTATGAACACAACGTAACCAGAATTTACTAAAACTGAGGTAACCTGCATATGTAGATCCTTCTGCTCATACATTTAATAGTCATTGTATCTTTCGAATTTGAAACATAATTATAAATAGCTATACAGAATTAATATGATTGCTTCCTGCTAACGTGCATTAACATGAAAGCTGGGTATTTTGAATGCAACTTAATTGTGACCATGCTCAAACACAACTACATACAAGGAAATATAAACACTTACAGTTGTGTCAACTTTCCAACCAACAGCTGCTGCAGCAACTTCCATGCCTATATAGCCACCACCAACAACCACAACTTTCTTTGCCTTCTCCTAAGAAATAAAATGAAGCCAAAAATGCATAATAGTCAACCATAAATATTCTATTAAGTGGAATGAGTTTTACAACCAAAAAGTTATATAATTCTCTTAAAAGTCAACACACTGGTTGTAAATTACCAGTGATGATATCAGGGAATTAGCATCTGCAACGTCTCGAACATAATGAACTCCTAGCAAATTACCTCCAATTTTATATGGAAACCTGAAAAGCCGAGAAATAATAATTGTTGCATTTGGTGAGTAAAAATTTTCTACTGGTCACGGCTGAAAGCAAGTTTTCCACTTTGTAACTTCATAACGGTAGACTACCAGTTTAAGTATTTATAAGTGATGGCATTGACTGGAGCGAAAATAAACCGCTAAAAAATCCAAAATTTGCGAATACATCAATATGATGCAACTTTTACAGAAAGAAAATAATTCTGCCTCAAGGGCAACTCAAAGGGAGCACACCTACGTAAACCATATACAAGGACTTGCCAAGTTCCAGACTTCCAGTACGCCTCAGGCAATCAAAAGTTACTAGATATTTGTTAAATTGACATTGTAAGATTAATGATGAAATCAAGGTACCGATATATGGATTGTCTTGGAGATATAATTTTGTCCAAGAGACTTCAACTGAGTAAATACCCTAGCATACATACATTAAACTAATAGAGTAGGTTTATTGATATTTTGTTGGCACATGAACTTCAGAGGCACACTTAACATTTCGTTCATTATTTTCTATTTTCCTGTAATGCCTGAGATGTTCATTTATATTAATGATATTATACCACATATAGGCAACCCATTTGGGATTTCCTAGTTCACACACTTAAGGGCAGAGATAATGGCAATGTTCACCGGGGACAAAAAGGCTAAAATACCTCGATGCAGTACATCCAGTAGCAATTATTAGTGATCCATACTTCAGCAATTTTCCTGAATCTGTTCTCAAGGTTTGCTTCTCAGTATCGATGCTTGCAACAGGATCTTCTTGCAACATCTGTACAATAATGGGGATATGGTTTAATGAAATGGCAAGCCTCGTAAGTTGCATTTCCACCATTTTGTGTCATGAAATAAATGACAATATTTAGGAAATGGCTCTAGGAGATAGATCCCTGACTTTCATACTTCTTTGTTTCTTGCTAACAATAATATCACAAATATTCTTACATCAAAGTAGAAGAACTGCAGGCTAAAACACTAAAGTTTGGTTTTACAGCGAGCTATATTTTTGTCGAGATTAAAGAAATGAGAATCTTGGGTCGCTACGGAAACAGCCTCCTTGTATAATTACAAGGGTAAGGTCTGCGTACAACTGACCCCCCAGACCCCAACCTGTTGGGAATATACTGGGTATGTTGTTGTTGTATTAAAGAAATGAGAATGCCGTTTCTTACTTAAATAGAGCCATGACAGACATAAGTTAGCAATCCAACACTGTCATAAATAAAAAGTAAACTGCAGCACACAGTTTAAATTATTATTTCATGCTGGAATCTAAATGATATTTCAAGATATCAAATGATCACAATATTACTTAGAGTCAGATAATCATAAGAGTAACCCAACAAGAAAAGTGCGCACTCAAGGATAAACTTAGTCTGATGAAGTCTAAATGGAAAAATAAAGTACAAAAATTATCCAACAAGTGAATTCTTCATTTACAGCAAAGGAGGGAAAACAATAATTAATATAAATAATTATTTAGATGCTACGTAATGTGCCGTTTTTTAATAAGATCATATATAATAATCTCATTTCAGAAGAAAAGACATTATACTTTTCACCTCTATCCCTTTCTCCTTATACCATTCAGGAGTCTGTCTTTCCCCACCAGAGCCAACACAAGTATGGAAGCCCTAGAAACCACAGAAAAAGTAACAATGATTTAATGTGCAAAAGGCCCTGAACTGTCATCATCATCATTGCACCTTCTACATGAATTCATTCCACGGCTACATTTTCTTATAAAACTTGGCAAATAACCAAAGATTAAAGAATGCAATAACCAATTCAAAATCAACTACAAAAATATTCTTGAACCTATGAAGAAACTCTTACAGATCACATCATGCTCACCGGTAATCGTGCTGGTTTTTTATCCAGAGGGAACAGATATCCTTTCGTCAATGCTGGCCGCTCATAAGGAGCATATGGCTGTATTTAAGACGAAAAATTAAGTTACTTAAACCAACCAACGGAAGGCTTCACGCTAGCAGAACTGAAAATTCAAGTGTAATGCATCTTGGTTTTACTAACAGCCACAACGTAAGATACACATAAGGGGACTCCACAGATATCATCCCATGTTCCTTTGCCAAAGTAAATGACAAAATTTGCTTGTAAACAAACTCAAGGGCAGGGAGCACATAAACGATCATTTCTAGTACCTTGTGAATCCCAAAGTGCTGAATGAGCTAATACTACACCATCTATCAAATTCATAACAAACACACAAGTGAAGCCAACGCCATACACAGATGCCCGACGGCCACACGTGACACACACACACACACACACTAAGTTTTCTACTGAAGCTACAATAAGCTGGAATTGGTCACCCTCATAGTATGTTCACATGTTATTATGGCTCACACATACTTCCGCAACTTCAGTACCCCATCATCAGCATAATGAATCAACTAAAGCCATAAACATTACAACTAGCAGCCATTTGATCGAGGTAAAATAAGTCGTATACCTCTTTAGAGACAATGCAAAGTTTCCCGTCAGCCATACCATGCTCCACAAAAGTACGAGCTGCATAACCAGCTGCGTTTCCACCTCCTNAGAAGAAGAAGGGAAATCAAACAAGGATAGCTACAATGGGACATCAATTAAACAATGAGAAGGCCATAACGCTTGATTACTCTCGATTTTCATTGGCGAAAGATGAAGCCGAAACGGAGAATCTCCTTCGGAAAGTCGTGATAGCGACTGAAGAAGGCCGAGAAACTCGATTCACCGGAGTTGACTGGGGACACCGTAGCGAGAGTCCGTGCCTCAGCGACATCGCATTCGCCATGCTCGACATAAGCGCTCTGCGAGCTGTTAAATTTCGCAGCACAGAAGGAGAAAGTGAGGAAAAGTTAATGGGGGAAAAATGATGAATTATGAGAAAGAGAACGAGATTGGACCTGGAGACATGGGGATGAAGCAGATGAGATCAGATTAATATATATAAATATATATAAAAAAGGAAAAATTATTATAAAGAAAGAGGGATTTTTAATTGTTGTTTATTTGAACAGCAAAAATGGTGGGTGTGGGTGGCCTTTGCTGATGTTCAAGAGTCGTGGGTTTCAGAGACTGGTGGCGCTGCAAAGAAGACACAGTTCGGCTGTGGGAAAATCCAATTTGCAGACTCAAACTTTAATTGCTTTTTGCATTTTAATATTTTGAATTTTATGTTAATCAATTTTTATATTTTTAATAGTTTTATATAATAACTGTTGTGTTATATGTGTACTCGAAAAAAATAGCAATTGTATGACAAAAAAAAAAGTATTGTGAAATTATAAATAATATATGTACAATAATAATAAAAATCAGTAAAGTAATATTTATTTAAAATGGCACACACATTTTTAATACAATCTATTATCTATTACTATATAATACGGAGAAGGAAAAATATTTGAATAATGTTTGAATAAATATTTCATTTCCCGCTTAAACATCATTTTTTCCCTCTCAAATTTTTCGAAAATTACCTGTTTTGGAAACTCTTTTTGAATTTTTTTCATTTATCCCGCCTAACTTAATTTGATTTTGGATGTGATTTATGGAAATCGGATTGTTTTATTTTAGGATAAGATTTGGTTGTTTTTTTGTTAAATTTGTTATAATTCCTTTTCTTTAGGATGAGATGAGATTTGTTACCATTTTTTTAAAATCCGATTTGGTACATTTTTAATTCACTCGCTTTTCCTTTTTTTTTCACGTTTTATTTCACTCGATTTTCCTTTTTTTTTGATGGGTTGAGATTTGGTAAATTTTGTATTTTTAATTTTTTTAATTTTAATTCACGTTTTTAATTTTAATTTCACGTTTTGAATTTTTTCCTTTTAATTTTTTTTAATCCGATTTTTTTTTTCAAACATTCGGTAAAGTTTTTTTTATTTTTTTTTTCTAATCCCGCCTACATTTCAATTGTAATTTATTTGGACGTATATCATAATCCTTTTTTTTTAATCGATTTGGTAGGAATCGGATATTTCCTTTTTTTTTGAAGGGAGTTGATATAAATCGGATAACATCAATTTAAATTAATTAATTATGAAATTTAATTTCCTTTTTTTTTTCAAATCCGATTTATATTATATAGATAGATTTCACTTCCTTTTTTTGTAAGCGATTACCTTTTTTTTTTGAAAGCGATTGTTTCAATGAAATGTGCACTAAGATCGGGTTGACCAAATTAAACAATTTTGAATAATATTAAATTAATCGATTACTATTAAATTAATTTTATTTGATTTTCACGTCTAAAATTTTCCAAAATACTATTTTTATTCTTGTGGAAAATGGCGGTTGGATGAAAAAGTCAAATTCAAATTAAAAAAAATTGTTATTTTGAAAAAGATATTTTGTAAACCCTAATTCATAAAAATATGGTCAATGATAACTTTAAATACAACGGGTAAATATGGTCAATGATATCATAAATTATATTTTATATTCGATAAGTTCAACTTAATTGATGATTTTGTTTGTTAATATTTGCTTAACTACAAAATATTTTAAAGTTTATAAAGAATCTCATTTTATGTAGGTTCTTGGTACTTTTTTATTTGTACATATTCATTTTTCATCCCATATCCAAATACAAATTTAAATGCGGATCTTACATGTTTATTAGAAATATATGTATATTTTTTCAAAAAGTATGACGATCATATAATTAATTTTATCATATATCATATGTTGGATGTTATTAGTTTGGTTGGGACACTCATTATATTCAAATAAATAATATATAATTTTTCATATTTAGTATTTCTTTTTTTATAATAATAAGATGTTATACATAAATAACTATGTATAATATAAAGTCTTAGAAAAGGTTTTAAGTAAAAACCCCTCCGTGCAGCGCACGGGATACACACTAGTTATATAAAGATGTAACTCAATAAATCCTAAAATAGTAGTTAAAAAATGATTAGAATTCCCGCTTAGAAATTTATTAAACATAGTAACTTTTTTAAAAAAATTTAGAAATCCCGCCCAAGCATAATTTGAAATTTTCAGTCAAAAATTTAAATTCAAACGTTTAAAGAAAGGATTGCCTGCAGATTTTTTTGGATATATTTAATCTTTGTCTTATGTTCCAAATAATCTCTTCATTGTAGTTCAAGTTTAATGTACATTAAATATTTATTATTATTATTATTATTATTATTATTATATATAAAGGTTTGATTATTTTTTAAATAGTAAATATTTTCCATCCAAAAAAAAATCTATTTACTATTTCGAATAATTAATTTAACAATTTATAGTATATTTCAAATAATCACTTATAAAAATTGCGTCTCATTATTTAAAGAAATAATTAACACATAAAAAGTTATATTTTTAAGATAATTACTCAAATCATGTGACTTCGGATGATTTACCCAAATATGTCAATTTTGGATGCAATATTAATTATGTGATTTGCTAAAAAATTTTAACTAAATTGTGTAACTTATTATTTAATAAGTGTTTTATATTTTTCGTGTCATTCTTTTATGAAATGTATTTTTTTTTTGTTATCATATGAAATGTATTTTTAATATAGGATAATTACGCAAATTGTGTAAATCCGACTGGTTTATTCATTTTGTAAATAATTACTACAATTATGAAAATATTGACAACAATAATCAATTATGCGATTTGCAAAAAAAAAAATGTTAATTTACTTAATAAATGTTATTCATTTTTTGTGTATTTAATTATTCAACTTGTGGATAATTAATAAAATAATATAAAATTTACATTTTTAAGATATCCTAATTACACAGGTCGTATAGATTTTGTTGATTTTTATTCAATTATAATTTTTATAAAATTGTTCCAAGATAATTTTGTTAATTACAATTTCTTTTTAATTATTTTTTAATAACTATTTTTTGGGTCTTTTTTATTTTTATCTATGAAAAATGTGGGTCTCGATTTTGTTTTCTACGTTGGGCAATTAATTTGTGGTAAAAGTAATTATCATTTTTTGTATTTTATTGATAAAGTATAAAATATATTTATTTTGTATACTATATATTGATCCAATATACCGACTTATGGTAAGAAATGGTATCTCAATATTTTTTTTCCCATATTGCTAAGTATTTTACTCGATATTAATGAAAGAAAAATTTGGAGATGGTCGATACTTCTTTATAAATATATACCAAATTATTTGGTATATATATTTATGTAACTTGACCAATCTAATTAAATTACACAATACTATTCACACAACTTAACAACCACAACGAAAAAAAAATAAAAAAATTTGAGATACCCAATCATACCATAACAATCAGTCCATCTCATACAGTAATTGATCAACAAGTAATATACTAATAGGATTTAGTAACATCCCAACTGATCAACAGTAGAATATTTTAAATTGACTTTCACCCAATCAAAAAAAATATACCGCATTTAAATTAAATGAGAATTTGATTAACAATTAACTAAAAATATAATTGTCAAACAAAGTAAAATTTAATATATTAAATAAAGTAAACGTTTTACATTACAGAAATCTTGTACTAAAGAATTTGTACAATTTTTAAATTGATTTATTGCAATTCTTTATACTTTTCATATCAAAAATATTTATGGAATTTAACTAAATTATACTTTGTTTTTTCTTTATAAATTCAGTCATTTTTCGATCATTTGTTGTTATCCTTCGTTTGATTTCATTTTTAATATTCTAAGTATTGATTTTATCTTTTATTTAATTCAAGATGAAGTGCGAATTTGATTTGATCAACAAAGTCACTAGAACTAAAAAACTACATATGAAGTTGTGATTAATTGAAAATAAATTTGCTGTTGAATACAAAAACTACTTAGAAATTTTCTTTCATGATGAGGAGATAAGAATAAATAACTTATTTTGAATTCATTTTTCCATTGTTTTTTTAACTAGACATGTTTTATGTAAATTTGCACAATTTAAAGTTTAAAGGTTAAATGCATTACATGTATATTTCATATTTTAACTTTATAAATATTATATAATGAATATATTTAATTTATAAATATTAATTAATATCTTTTACCCGTGCACCGCACGGGATTCATACTAGTTTGTAGAAAGTAGAAACCCAATAAAATCATATGTCTAAAAAAGTATTATCTATAACTTCATAACTTTTATTTCGAATTTCTAAAAATTAATTCTACCTTTATTGTATTCTAGTTAATAGCTTTACAAAAATTCTATGAAGCCATCGAATAGTTTTCTTATGGACACTTAATGTATTGACACATGTCCAAATTGTATTTATTACAAAACACGTGTCAATGCACTATTGATGAATAAGTGTTGATGGTTCTATAATAAGTGTAACTGAATAACTTTATATTCTGCGATTATGTACTACAATCATATAGTACAATATCATAATGTGGGATCATTTGGTGTAATCACATGGTGAATTCATGGTGCGATCATGTGTAAAATTAATTTGACACATGTCCAAATTGTATTTATTACAAAACACGTGTCAATGCACTATTGATGAATAAGTGTGAATGGTTCTATAATAAGTGTAACTGAATAACTTTATATTCTGCGATTATGTACTACAATCATATAGTACAATATCATAATGTGGGATCATTTGGTGTAATCACATGGTGAATTCATGGTGCGATCATGTGTAAAATTAATCATGTGGTAAGTTCATGGAGTGATCATGTAGTGTTACTATGATGTCTGATTACGGTGGCTAACCAAAAATGTTATGAAAATGTGTCCGTCATATAAGTGTTAAAATTTGCCATATATATATATCTCCGGTGTGGGATGACATTCGACACATTAGTACGTTACAGACAATATTGACCAAACATATTCAATTCCCCTGACACACAACAAACAAACAAACGCAAACACACATCAAACAAAAGCCAAAAAATAAAATAAACTAAAAAAAAAAACAACGAATTAGAAAGTAGAAAAAAAAAAAAGTGAATTAATTAATTAATTATCACAGCACAGTTTCCTCATATTCGAGCCTCTGAATCAACTTGCACTGCCTCCTGAGCTTTCGCGCGAGCGACATGCAGCGGACGCAGAGTGGACAGCCCGCCCTGTACGACCAGTTGTGCCACGCGACCCCGCACCTCGGCAGCCA